AGAGCAAACCAACCCCTTTTCCTTAATAACTGTAAGTCAACAAACCTGGAAAAAGAAGAGAGCACGTCCCATCCAAAGACAGTAAATGAGAGCATACGTTGGTCGTACATGTAACTGTGTCAGTGCGGGAACCACCATCTGCTCTATCAGTCCTGACATTGCCACCAGCGGGATGTTGTGGGGGCGCAGTAACATACACATGGCACACAACCAGCTAGAGACAATGCCTGACAGCTGTTGATCAACTCTGTGGCTTTGTTTCCCCTCGCCCTCTCTCGCCTTTCCATTCTCCTGAGATACAGAGGTTTGACGAAACAGTTTTTTTGAGTTTGAATTTTCTTCACAAGACACATTTTTGGCAGTACTTTGGCACTTCGCATATTCTGAGCTGGGAGATTCACTTCTTGACAATGACGACTCGTAAAAGTTTAGTCGGGCAGATCGTTTGCGCTGACTCACAGACAGATTTTGAGACTCTTGTTCTTTAGGGCAGTCAACCTCCAGACGTGTGAAATTCTCGGGTAAAATAGAAAGCAGAAACACCATGGCTGAGCAACAGAGAGAAATCCTTGCCTCCAGAACACCCCTGCAAAAAGAATAAAAGAAAAAGAAGTAAAATGCTATAGTTTAATACCAAAACACATATTGTCAGTACAGACTTTCCAAAAAGACAAACTCAAGTTACTAAGAAAGATTTAAGAAAACATCTCTGACCGAAAATCAACAGTTGCAAGGATCTCTCTTCTATCAAACATGACCAATAAATAGCTAAAAATCCTTGCAAAAATCATAGGAAGATGCTAAATTTTAAAAGTATGAATATCAAGCCTTACAAAAACAAGAGGGTGTACAAATGGTGCTCTACACTCATGAATGCAATCTTGATTTCTCCAATAATTCTCTTCACTAATATCAAACATTCTTTTTTTCTTCTAGGTTTGGAAGACCGTAAACCACAATTTGTATAAAGAGACTTTCTTTTTTTTTACTTTTAGGAAATGAAGATAAACCAGGCAAGGAAATGGACAAAAATTTTGATCAGGTCACACTTCCACAAACAGGCCAAGTGAAAAAAAGGTGTAGAACATAATTTGTTATGGATGTATAAACGAGAAATTCTTTTATTATCTTTCTTCAAATAGCCCTTTGAGTACAGAATATTTTACTTTTCTTAACAAGATACCTGATATTTTACCAAAACATACTGTGTAAATATACAAATCATTCATAACCCCTGACCCCCCCCCCCCCTCTCTCTCTCTTTCCCCTCCACAAATGGACACAAGCACACTCTCACACCCACCCTCACTATATGGGCACACACATTCACACATGCACCAACATGTGTTGACGCACAAGCATATAATGTAGCACGCTCACAGGACTTTATGCAGTTGTGAGCGCCCTAAAACTCTCTTACTAAACTACAGGCATACATACTTGTCACTCAGGAATTTCCGAGAAGGGAAGAACAACGATCCTGAAGCAACCCTGGAGAAGAAAGCTCCGGCCAGTGACAGGTTCATGAACAACACTTGTACCTTGGCCAGTCCTGGCTGTCTGCTACAGGAGATGACCATCATGGAGAAAGCCACCATCAACGATAGGTAAGGCTTGTGTTCTGACCTGAAGAGAGAAGCAACACACATGCACAGTGAGACACAACATAACCACACTTAAATATACACAAGACTTTCATCACAGGCCAGTAAGTTGCACATGGAAGGCTAAAGTAAAAGGCGGGGACATCATGGAAACAGCTGGAAAAGGATGCACAGGACAGGCTTCCCTCAAGAAACGTTGTTGATGGCCAATGCCTCACTGGGAGTTAAAAAGGGAAAGAGAGAGGAAGGCAAAAGTAGGGCCACATCCGGGTCACAGTGACATCACGCTTTTAACTTACGTTAAAAAAGGGAGCTCAAAATTTACTTTTACTCTTTTCACTTTGTTTCCTCAGTTTGAACATCTGGCAGGGAGGAGGAAATGTACCCGGCTGGAAGAATAAAAAAACCTCAAAAACAACTAAACCAACCGGGAACAAAATTACAACCTCCTGCAGATTCTGGTGATTGTCTTGTCTACGTTTTTGTGTATTTTTACAAGGTGTCTATTTAAGCCTGTGTAAAAGTGTCTGTTTATTTGGACAGGATGTTAAAATGACGAAAGTCCTTTTTTAATAGGGTGGAGGAGAGAATCAGGATGTTGTGATGTTGAGTGACTAAAACCAGGCAAGGGTTGACTCTTGATGCCAAATTTCTGAAGGAAAGAAAGACAAACACACAAAAACTTACATGACAAGCCAGTCACTAAAATCTGGGAGGTGCTGCCACTTGTTGCCTGTTTGATTCCAGCGTCTCATCACTCGCAGAAAAACCAGGACGCAGACCAAGCTAAAGCTTAAATGGACAGCCGACTTGAAGGAAAGGGCCGCTCTGGAGCCGCCTGGCAGAAGAATACAGTAAAACCCTGATATCACAAATTTCACAGGGCCATAAACTACTTTGTGTTTAGTTTTAGTACAGAGTTTTACGGCACTTGCAACACAATAAGGTCATATATGTGCCTCAGATTAGAGGTGTTACAAGAGAGTAACAAACACAAAAAAAGGAGGCAAGAAAAGGACGATAATCTTTGTGTTTGACAGATTTCATGTCAGGGGAAGTTGCAATGCATAGAATGAAAAGAATAACTCCACCCCCCAAACAAGTATTTGAAATCCTTTCAGGGAAACAGGAAGTTTAGGCTGAATGACTTCATTCTTATTTATATTTGAATCGGATCTCATTCGATCGCCTTAGGAACAAACCAACAGAGTCTGGGAACATTTTATACCAGAGAGAGAAAAAAATGATTTTTCTTGAAACTAAGCGGTGGGACAAAGAAGCTTTGAATTTATGACTGTTTGGTGCATTTATATTGGTCTGACAGTTGAGATATAAATATGCGTGGTGTGAAGTGGGGGTTCCTTGCCATTCAAAGAATAAATGCATCTGAGGGAAATTTGGAGAAAGATTTTCTGAACTCGAGGCATTTGCACTGCAGTTTGCTTAAGTATTTTGTCATATTGCATGGTAAGTTTCAGGATGATTACATCTATACCAATGTAAAACAAATCTCAGGGCCATACAAAAACTTCTCTACAAACACCTTATAATTAAATGGCATGATGTAACTGATTTGTCTTGTAAACAGTTGAACAACACTGAGGTGTAAAAAGATACCAAAAGAAAGACAATCTAATATTGTCCAGCAAGAAAATTTATTCCCTGTCACGTCATCTCACCTGAAGTAACGGACGAGGCATTATCTGTCTTCTTGCTATCCTTTTCCTGAAGATTTCCAGAACCGTCTCTCACACAATTTTCCCGCTGCTCTATCTCAGCTCTATTCAGCTCCTGGTACAACCGAGTATCCTCTCCGTCACATTCGCCATCCCGCTGTTCTTGGTCAGAGCCATAACATCCCTCATCAGGCTGAAGGTTTATATATCTCTTTGAATCATCAGGCACAGATGTGTTACCCCCTTTGCTCATAGGCTCCTCTTTGGTGACCCTGACCCTGTTCCACAGCTGGTAAGGCAGCTGAAGCAGTAGCAAAACATGCACGGTGGTGGTAAGGAAGTACAGGGTCTGATGCTCCTCTTCCACAAAACTGCTCGACATCAAACTCAAGGCGTGGCCTAAGCTGCCTACTATTAGAAATTTCTCCACAACACTGGACTGCCATAGCCAGATCTGAAGAAATGCAAAAAAACTTAATGCACATTATGCTTCCAAACAATACCATTTACCAGTTTGTAAGAAATAGACTCGAACTCTATCAATTTTCTTTACCTTTTTCTCACTGAATAAACATCTTTGTTTTCAAGAAGGAAAAGTGAAACTTAATATTCCTTAAGATCATTTTTCTGTATTTTCCAAAAACTGCACAATCTTTCAAAAAAGGAATATCAAATTGTCTTGCTTATCCACTCTTTTTACACACAAGGCTCTTTCAATGAAAGCCAAACTGGAGAAACTTATATAACTTAACACTCACAGATAAAAAGACAACATTAAGTACCTGGATATGCCTCAAAATTCCCCACAGCTTAGTCTTATGAGTGATGAAGTGAACTGAGAGGCTGAGAAACACAGCCAGCATAGACAACTGAATGGCTACACTCAGGCCAGTTGCTTGACATATCAAAGGACTTGGGACACCACCTAGAAAGAAGCAAGCAGAAAAAAAAGATATTTAATCTAACCAGTCAGATTCTAACTCGCCACAATTTACTGAATGTTTTCCCACATCTTGTTCTTCTGGTGCCACATTCACAACAGCCATCAAAAGTCATAACTTTCCATACTACTAATTCATGAAAGGCAACTTGTAAAGACAGATTATAATCAGTTTCGTTTCTTTGACCCATTGCGACCTTGCATCTTTAATATGCACATCATTGAAAACCATGATTTAGAGGCTATATTTTGTTTCTTGTAAATAAAAGGAGAAAAAGTAAAACAAACTCAAAAGAACAAAGGAACTAATTAATAATACACTTAAAAGAAATATAACGCAACTGACACAGAGATTAAAATGACATCAACAATGACACAAATTCTGATATCGATATGTAGAATAATGGAATCAACCACTCACTACCTGTGCACATTGTGATGTGGGACAAAGTCACAGAGCCACAGACAGGAAATGCCACAGTAAAGCAGGATGACCATGATCGTAATCCAGATTCTGTGACCTTCACATTGATATGGCTCAAGATCAGGGACGCAAACAACTGAAAGTGGACAAATACGACATTACAATGGAATTAACAGAAACATCTCAGTATGCCAAGCTTCCATTTTCTACTTGAATAGCTATGACAAAAAAAGTTTGTTAAAGAAGAACAAGATAAAATTACAAAATCCGTACAAAGATTTACTTCCTTCAAACATTTTTGTAGCTTTCATCTTAGGAAACAAAGTCCCATTTTGATTGTCAGCAAACAAAGCAACTTAATTTTTTTCATCTTTTAGTTTGCAGAATCCAAAACATAACTGCAGTAATTATTTCACAAAGACGCTACCCTCCCCCCCCTCTAAAAAACAACTAGTATAAGCATTTGCCATAAGTTATAACAAATACCTATCTTGATCTTCAACCTTTATAGGCCTACATGTTTTTATGTATCATCGACATTTGTCTCAAACCTCTGAACATTACTACTGAGCCATACCAAATGTTTTTCTCACATAGACAAAACTGAGTCATAAGCAGAATGTCTTGCCATTTTATTGATTGTATTTTTTCGGGTATTTTTTTTCCATTTCAAAACCTTATTTTGAATCTTAACTTTGTGCTCTTGTAATTTTAGTTAGAAGTTCTTCATACCTGTATATCTCCCATCACTTCTTACTAAAGGTAAAAACAGCAGTTCAAAAACAGTTGGTAAACCTACCCACCCGCCCCCCCCCCCAAAAAAAAACCCCCAACAACAAAACAATGTATTCAATTTGTGCAACTATCATCTAATTGAACCTCATTACCATTCCACAAACACTTACCATCCAGAGTAGCACCATTGCAGCAGCCATAGCATAGACATCGTACTGCGTGGAAAGCTTGTCCACGCGCTCAGCCATGAGACTCAGGCTCTGAGCGTAAACATCTAGCAAACGCAAGCCTTGCTCCTCCCACTGTGCATGAGGTGAGGAGTTCTGATGGAGAAACCATGATGCCATCTCCTCACTGGCTCTTTGGTACATCATGTACGATGACTCTTGAAAACAACAGAACACAAATCTTTTAGGTTTCAGAAGTTGGTCTCTTTGACAAAATCATTTTGTACAATAGAAAAATAGTGTTAAAAAAATCGCTGTTCAAACATCTATGACAATACGGAAGGAAAATGGAATAACAACCTAATTATCAAAATGCTCAAAATCTAGTAACACCAAAGTGCAATTGATAGTTTGAACTATTAAATATCTGTAAATATAGGAAAAAAGGAGGGTGCAGTAGCTCAACAGGTATAGTGCTCACCTGTCAGCCTGAACATCTGGAGTTCGAGCCTTTACCGTGTTTGGTTAATTCTTCTCATGTTTTCTACACCTCCCGAGTCCACAATAGGTAAAGTCAAGCATCTAATCTTCTCGGATAAGAACTAAAACTTCAAAGGTCCCGTGTAGAAGTTTTACAAGTGAAAGATCCCTTCGCAATTTTAAAATTGAAAAGAGTCAGCCATCTGGTTCTCCATTAGGGCAAATTCAAAACAAATTCCTAAACTAAATCGATGCCACTCTAGTCAGGATTAATATTCAAAGAGTACCTTAAAAAATGTCATGTTGAGCAAAGGATGATTCTATGTTCTCTGTTGATCAAACGGCTATGTACATTCAAATCAACTGCACTATGAAATGAAGAAGATCTGACTGTCAGTTACGCCCTGAGCTCTAGCAAGGGTACAAGAAGGAAGATCAGAAAGAGAATTTGCTGGCTGAGCAGAGGCTTCCAAGTCTTAATTTCAGACTCACCTTTTTCACGATTTGCCACATAATTTTCCAAAATTTTCATGGCCTGCTGTGCGTTTTGATGAACAATTGACAGCTTCTGCTGCAGAGAAAAGCCGACAAGGGCATCAGTAACAATTTTGCCCAGGCTGTTCAGTGGCACTGGCACATCCATCAGAACTGACAGAGTCGGGCACAGGTCAGCTTGCGAGATCAACCCAGGAGGTTTGGAACCAACTGTGAACACAGGTATCATTTATCATGCATGCAGTGTAAAAAAAAAGGAATATTTATAAGGTGTCAGATGGAAAATGCATGACGACATCATAATATATTGTTGTTGTTGTTGTAATAGTTGTTGCAGTCGCCTATCGTGTAGAAGTAGAGTTTTTGTCCATCCCATTTATTTTAACTATCAGAATATGCATGTTTGCCAAATGTGTCTAATTTTGAGTTACAGGAGTTAAAAGTAATCTAAGGTGCTAAAAGAAAAGGACATCATACATTCCAGTTAGATAAGTCCTGATCTTGGTAACAAAAGTCATTTAAAAAGAAATAATACTAAAGACATACAAACATTTAAAGCATGCGAAACTGAACTTACTTTTTTATACATACATGTAAAGGAAAAGCATATCGATATCATAATGTCCCAAACAGTATAGGAAAAAGAAAAAGTAACTTGACACAGATTCTGCAGTGGTTTTACTTAAATATATTCATCTCTTTGGCCAGGTAACTTGCCATTTCTCTCTTAACCCCTTGCCTGCTCTGTGGGCGTATCTGGTACATTTGAAAGAAGCCTGTTTTATTTCGTGCATATCTTCACTTCTACACAGTTTTGAATAACAAGCGTTACATCCTTGTATTCTCTGTCCACTTGCCGATGCGATCATGTCTAGTTTTATGCTAAAAGTCCCGGCATTCGCATATGGTAGCTAAAACAAAGAGACATGGTGTGTAGTGTGTTGTGAGCGAATGACAAAGTCAGTGTACCTCTCTGAGGGGTTTGCGTGCAGTCTACATTCACCACGATGGCTTCGCAAAGGTTGACTAGGTCTAAAATGAAAGGTCTACATTCGGCTAAGATCCCGCATTTCAGATAATAATTTAAGGAAGAAAAACCTGGGTGGGCACACCCGATCAGCCAAGAGTGAAAAGTTGAGATCGTTGAACGGCCTGTGCATCAAAGATCAGCCACTCTCGTGAATATGACCACATAAGCATTGTAAAACTCGATGAAACGGAAAAATGTTTGCCCCAGTCGGGATCACACAGAGGTGTGAACTGACCGACACATTTGTTTACCCTAAACACCGCACTTGCATTTGAGCTCTGCACCTGAAATTACATCACTCACTGTGTAGGTAGGGCCTACACGTTCGCTCCAGGTGGGATCACTGATTGAAATGTGAACTCTTCCTTGACCAGTGCAGCAGTAAAATTTGCGAGACAGACTTAAATTTTAATTGTTGTGGTCACAACGTAATGGTGTGTAGCGACAAAGGCCGGGGAACTCGGTCATTGATGGAAAGCTATAAGTTTGGGACAGATAAGGAGGAGGGGAGAGGCAACTGGATAAGCGTAGAACTTGAGACTCATGATAGGATAATAGGTGTAAATGGCATGCCTCATGCCACTCTGATTAGTCATTAAGGTTGACCACTCTTTGCTTGCCAGAATATGTTATAAACCCACCCAAAGGTCATGTCAGTTCATTTTAGAGCGGAGGGAGACAATTTTACCAGTTGTGGGCCTTAACTTGGGTCACTGTAGATTCTTCCTTTGGTCCATCGGCTAAGATCACATTCGCCTTAGATCCCGCATTTTCCGTCCTCCCGAGCACCGGGATCTTAGGCGGAGACTACTGTAGTACAGCTAGTAGTCTCTGCCTAATATCCCACCGTTTATGATCCCGATTCCCTTCAGATCCCACTGTTTTAAGAAAAAAGAATTTTTACTATACAAAAGTCACCCCTAAGATCCCGCTCTGATTCACTATGAGTGAAGTCTACATTTGGCTAAGATCCCGTATTTCAGACCATAATTTATGGAACAAAAAACCCAGGAGGGCATAGCCTATCAACCAAGAGTGAAAAGTTGAGAAGTCCTTGAAGGGAGAACATTTTACCGGCTGTGGGCCTTAACTTGGGTCACCGTAGATTCTCCCCTTTATGTGTCGGCTAAGATCCCGTTTGCCTAAGATCCCCCATTTTTTTTTAACCCCTAGAAAGGGAATCTCAGGCGGAGACTGCTATACTTTGTAATAGAGAATAGTAGTAAAAAATAAACAGACCACACCAGGGAACTCATTAACTTCCCCAAATTTCAGTATTTTCTTTACATAAGAATGTCTACACTTATTTTAAGAGACTAAAAATTGTTATTTCACATTATTAATACTTCTATTTATTTTAGTTTCCACTTTGCTTGGGCCCGATTTTGATACCCGTTTTCATCTCCGAAGAACTTTGTTCTATTTTCAGGCTGCTCTGATTGAGACCCTTTTTTTGCCTGGTGATCAGCTGTTATTTCACAATATAATTACTTCCACTTCAACTTCACAACAGGAAGTACCTGGACTTTTGATGCTCGGACTGAGAAAGAGCACAGGAACGAAGACTTCCTGTGGAGTGGCACCCCCGTGACCTCCCTGGTCAGTCATGCCGTGGTCACCACAGACAACCAGGAGACTTGGCTCAGCCTTGGGGAAAAAGGAGGCGAGGGGGGGGGGAGTGAGACAATGATCGGTAAAAGGTAAAAGTAAAGTTTCAAAACTCCCCCCACCATGTACAGGGAGTAAACAGAAGTCAAACTTGTCTGTGAAGGAACCCCCCCAATTCGAATTGCCCCCAAAATTTATTAACTTTATGTTCTGTCTAAAACTTTAAAATGAAATGACATTCCAAAGATACTAGTGTGTATAAAAGTGTATGGGCTTAATGTCCTTATCAACACTATTAGATAATGCGGGACCTCCAAATTTTATTTCTGTCTCCAATAGTGAGCCAAAGGGATAGAGAGCCTTGAAAACACTCCTGAAGTTACTGTCAAATGTGATCTTATGGACTTTGGTGAAAGAACAGATTTAGTGAAGTAATAGATATATGAGGCATCGTGGGAAATTATGCGCTCTTCAAAATAATGAAATCCGAGAAATTAACATTTTTCTGGCAGTTCGGACATTTTTTTTTGGCTCAGCACCCTATATATGTCCATTCAACAACAATTTTAAGTTTGGATTTTATGGAAAAATATTGATAAAAAGCACAACAAATTTAAATTTGCAGTTTTCAAGGACTCTTAAGTTATGGAAATCACCAAACGTTAGTGGCCATTTTCTCACTAATTTTATCTCTGGAACCAGGCAAGCCACCCCGTTCAATAGCAAATATCTCGACTGCTATTCCAGATAAATGGATATTTTTTTCAACAAAGGCAAGGCAAATGAATTACTTTTAAGATGATGCCAATAACTCATTATACCCAAAAATTGACGAACGTCTGATTCCACTGCGTCGAGACACATATTATAGTTTTCCATCCCTTAGTAATTGCTTTATTTTTTAATCTTTCATCCAAAAAGTACACACTCTGAGCTTTTTTCTTACCCACTTTTCCATAGATTTGTAGATCTGCTCTATAACATCATCCATCTCACCCAATTTGGGACGGACTAGGTTACTGCTTGGCCCAGCAGTGTGGCCAATGTGGTCGAGGCCCAAGTAATGCAGAATCATAACGTCCCAATCATTTTTGATTAGCTCTGATGGAAGGTGTCGAGTAACATTTCGGTCAACCTGGAAAGATAACAAGTTCATGAGTTAAAAAATTAGCTCCATCACAACTTAAGTAATTGGCCGACATAATGTAAGAAAACATTAAAATGAGAACCAATAAAATTTAAAAGGTAAGTTATGAAGAAGAAGGGAAGCTTTTCTGAGACTCCTAAACCATAACAAATTCTAAAGCATAATAAGAAAAAAAATTAGCTCGTACATTCTTCATGATATCAGAGTCTACGAAGCAGTCACATAACACAAATCATCACGAAGTACAAGCATTTGTGCCCATTTGGAAGAAGAGTGGAACAGAAAGCAAAATAAACTTTCCGTCTTCAAAATTATGTAATTTCAGCTGGTCCGAATAGAAATAGAATTTTTGTATAAAAATAAAATTAAGATGAGCTTGCCCTTTAATTTCTAAACATTTATTTTTCATGACTTCCATAGAATTTTCCAAAGAAAGTAACAAGCTAAGAACAAAAATGAAATATCATCACGAGTGCTGTTCAATCTCCTGCTTAGGCATTTTATTTTTTGCATTCACTTACGACAACTTTAGACACTGGGACCAACTATCTTCTATACTGCTGGTATATATGAGATGCAAAAACTTTTAAAATGAACCATTTGAGCCCTGGTTCCAGTACAAACATTAAACACACATTACCATGAAGGCAATTAATTTCTCAACTGAACACTGATTAATATACCAATAGAATAAAGGCGTTGGGTATTTATTTAGAAAAACGATATATATTTTCTTGAGAAAGACAAATCATCTACCTCAGTGTAGTCTGTGACGAAGAAAGACGTCGTGCCATCACTTCTTAAGAAATGATCGGGAAACAATTTCAGCCATGTATCATCGCCAAAGAAGACGATATTCTTTCCGGCGGCTTTCAGCTGGCTGACAATGTTATCCTCTTCCAGTGCCACAGAACCAAAGTTCAGTACAACATCGATGAAACTTGGGATATTCCCTGTAGTAATGGCCTGTAAGGGGGTAAAAGGTCACAGGGATTGATTTCTTGTTTGTACTTTTAGATTTAAGTGAAGAGCACACTGCCAGTACAGTTCCGAATTGAAAATAGAGGTGGGAAGAAGTAGAAAGTAGAGGTGTATTAGACACCAAAGAGGCTACATCATCAAATCCATAGATAGTCAACAATGGTAACCCTTGACAAGGGGATTATTTAGTGTAAGTCCCCCAACTTCAAAATTAGATCAATCAAGGCATCTGAAGAAAGAAAGATTAAATTACGAAAAGAAGTAGGTTTAATAATGAGCAACTTCCATCTAACTGCAACTAAAGCTTTCTTCCCAGAGGGGTTGCTGTACACCCTGTGCATAAGATTATAATGTCATAGATAGACTACTAAAAATTGTGTTCTGATCTGGCAGTCAGGTTAAAAAAAGTCATCATCATAATAGGCCTATACTTATGTCAGGCTATGATATATATAATAAAACTTATTTTCTATCATTGAAGTCTATCAATGAAATTTTAGACTATTTTTAAAATCAAACTGAAGGCAAATGAGTATGATCTTGACTTTTATTTTTTTAAATATAATATAGTGATGCAGAGATCAGACCTGCCACTCTATGAAATCTAAAAATCAGGATCTAGAGGGGAAAAAATCGGGATTTGGTGAAAAAAATCGGGATCAATGACAAATCACCAAGGTGACTGCCAAGCTGAATTAAAATTTTCCAAGAGATATTATATCCGCGCATAAATGTCCTCTGAGTATGTATGTGCGTGTGCGTGTGTGTGAGGGAGGGGGGTGTTTAAAAAAAAATCCTGATGTAAAAAGTATGAATGAGACTCCTAGCCCAAGTGTCTACACCCCTTACCCCCCTCCCATCCCACCCCCCGTAAGTTTCGAAAGATGTTTCAACCAGTGTGCATGAACTTAAGTTGACCTCGTCGACGGACGGTCTCTGACACATATGGGAAACTTACATGCCGAAGTCAAGTCACGTAATGCGAACCCATGATTGAAACAGTTTTACTGGCGGGTCTTGAAGACAAGCACGATTAACCAGAAGTTGGACAAAGCTTGTTTTGAAAGTAACAGCAGAACTATAGTATTGATCATTTGTAAGTCGGAATTGAAACAGTGGTCATCATCGGAGAATTCTGAGCGCAAACAAGCGAAAGTAGATATTTGAGAACGAAGAGGCTAGCTGTACTTAATGACGGCTAGACTGGCAGTCTAGCCGTACTTAAGTTTAAGTACGGCTAGACTCGCAGTCTAGCCGTACTTATTCTTAATATGATGGCTAGACTGACCATTTACAAAAAAATAGGCCTACTGAATTGTAAATATACATTTTTAGTGTGCAGTACCTAAAGTATTTGTATTTGAGACAAAACCAGGTTCCTTAATGACAGTGCATGTATTTTAAACCTCCTGTTTTCTAATGTAAATAGGGCCTAAGATAAGTACGGCTAGACTGGCAGTCTAGCCGTACTTAAGTACGGGTAGACAGCCAGGCTAGCCGTACTTAAGGACAGCTAGACTGTCAGTCTAGCCGTACTTAATATTGATGGCTGAATTGTAAATGAAAATTTTAGTTTGCAATGCCTAAAGTATTTGTATTTCAGACAAAACCAAAAGGTGCCTTACTGACTTGCATGTATTTAAACCTGAATAATTACTAGATCTAGATCTAATGAGACCTGTGTACTTAACAGGCTTGAGTTGATTGGGCCAAACCTAGATCTAAGTACGGCTAGACTGGCAGTCTAGCCGTACTTAAGTACGGCTAGCCACTTCGAATTATCAAATTCAATTGGAACGGGAAGGCAATTTCCAAAGAGCGCCATGATAACCATACCTTGATCCTTGGCATAGTGACTGTAGGTGGATGCGACTCAGCCACAAATTTAATTCCATGTCCCAATTCAAAAATTCTGTTCACTTTGGGCATGTACTGATAAGGTCCAAAGAAAAAGTCAGAACGGAAAGCATCAATTACAAGAAAGATGAGTCGTTGAAAAGAGACTGAAGAATCTGTGTTGAGGTGTTCAGGATATCTTGAGGCTAAATGTGGCTTTCCATTTTCCTTGATATGGATCTCCCTCTGTCGGACAATTCCATTTTGAAGGGATTTTTGACTAACAGTTGAAGTTGCATCATGATTACCAGGTCCAGAGTCGTCATTTAGCAACGTAGTTTTCGTGACTGATTCTGGTGGCAATGGCAAAGACACAGAAATTTTCTGTCGAGAAATGTCTCGCGGGACCTGTTTGAGAGGAAAAAATCCTCTAAAGAAGACACTTAGAGCAAATACTACCGCCAAGGTGCGAAGCAATAAAAGTATACACATCATCAATGATATAAGAAACTGAACTGCTCGAGCTCTCCCTGATCATACGGTTGGCCCAGTTACTAAACTCACAAACACCGGTAGGAGGCAGCCATATTTGTTTTGGAGAAAAAAATCCAGTTCCGCTTCCTGGAAAACCTTGGGCCTTAGCATTTCCAAATAATAGCATTATTATTATTATCTGTGTGCAATTTCTAAAGGTGATGGACAACTATGAGCTTTGAAACAAAAAAACAAAATTAAAAATAGAACGAACACAAAGCAAATATAGATCTACTTCAGCTGCTGGTCTAAAAAAACCTAATGGTTTAGGATAATATAACTTTGTTTACCTGTTCAGGTATGGAGGGGCTGTAGCTCAAGTGGTAGAGCGCTCGCTTAGCATGTGAGAGGTACCGGGATCGATACCCGGCAGCTCCAATTTTTTTTCTTCTAATTTTGAAATTTTTGGTCACCTTTCTTTTCTGTGCTAAGGAAATTTGTCACGTGCTTCATTTTTCTCTCCCCCTCGTGACCGAATGGTGTCCCCCCCCCACCCCCCCTTGCACCTTCCATACCCTTTCCCCCCATTCATATTATAATCTTTAGATTGGGTTTTCTTTCTTTCTTTTTTTTAGCATCTGCACGTGTGTTCCTCCTACCCAGTCCTCCAAAGAATCCTGATATCATAACGTCGAAAAGTACATTTCTTTGCTATACTGTAGGCCTACTTCTTGTGCAACCTATCGTCATCAACTTAATATAATGTTATCTGCGTGGATTTTAGTGTAATACCTACGTTAGAAATTCCAGAGACATGCACCAGTTGTACAGTTCATTCAAGCAAACAGTGTAAGCCTGTACATTATCACCTGGTAGTGTTGTTGAGTGGAGCAGCGGGCACACCATAATTCACTGATAAAGTCGTTGGTCAGACGTCAAGTAGCCATGAATAGCGTGTCTGTCCCTGAAGGTTTCGGTTACATGTCAGGAAAGCAAATCCTCATTGCTCCCACCCCCCCCAAAAAAAAAAAAGAAAAAGAAAAAAAAAGAAAAGAAAGAAAGAAAATAAAATAAAAACGTAATAAATAAGCTTATACATGCCTAAAGCGTATTAGACTTCTATACGAACTTGGTTGTTGTTGTTGTTGTTGTTGTTGTTGTTGTTGTTGCTTTTCTTCTAACAGTCTTACTTTTCTGCTGAAATAAATCCATAATATGTTGGTTGGATTTTTAACAAATACACATATTATTGTTATTACCGGCAATTAGAAAAAAAATTTCACCGATATTATGTCACCTGATTGAGGGGGAAATAGTACATTAATTTTGGTCTAGAAATAAAAATGCTAAAAATAAGAAAAACTAAGAGTGTCTCTTTTTGATTAAAACCTCGTACTTTTAGGTTTTGGTCAAGTAGGTGTGCATTTCCCAGTAACAAACCTACCCCTGTAGGAGCCTATATGTGAGGCAGCGTGGTGGAATCAGGCTCTCGTCTATTTTTTGGGGGGCATGTAGAATTATTGTTATCATCTTAAAGCTTGTTCACTTGTCTTTATTTGGATGAAAAAAGTATTCATTTATCTTGAATACAAGTCGAAATATTTGCAAAAGAAGTAGGTGGGGGTAATCTGTTTTCAGAGGTAAAATTAGTGAGAAAATGGCCGCCAAAGATTAGTTATTTCGTTAGCTTAAGAGTCCATGGTAACTGAAAATTTACTTTTTTTGTGTGTCTTTAATCAACGTTTTTCCAGAAAAAATGAAACACAGAAAAGAGTTCCTTAATGGGCATGAAAGGAGTTAAGCCAAAAAACAAAAATTTGATAAAAATTCAAAAAGGCTCGTTTCTTCACTTTGATTATTTTGACGAGAGCCGCATTCCACCGCGCTGCCTCACATATGGCAGGCATAATATAAGGCATCGTTGTGAAATCAGGTACTCGTCAAAATATTGAAAGCGAAGAATCTGTGCGGCATGTTCCCGAACTTTGGCAATTTATATCGATTTTTTGTTGTTTCCTGGCTCAATGCCTCTCGTGTCCATTTAAAAATTGGATTTTTACTGAAAAACGATGGTTCTAATTGCACAAAATTGACGTAATTTTTTTGATTCAAAGAACTCACAAGCCTTGAAAGCCACCAACCTTTGGAGGCTATTTCCCCGCTAATTTTATATCTGAATCCAGGAAGCCCCACCTCGCGATCCCTAAATATTTCGAATTCTATGCAAGAATAGATGGTTTATTTTGGGTTGGGGTTTTTTCAGCGAATCCAAGACAAATGAACAAGTTTTAAGATGATTATAACGCTACATGCCTAAAAATTGACGAGCGCCTGATTACACTGCGGTGTGACATAATGGGTTTTACGTCCCTTTCATCAGTGTAAATTGTAAGGCCTAAGGCTAGGCTTTCCGAGAAGGCCTAGGTCTAAGGTTATTTGAGAAGCGGCACTTACGAACTCCTTCTCCGCTCCCAAGAGGACCAGACAGCCAAGCGCGTGGAGAACCCGGAACTTTGAAAACTCCCCAAACTTCCCTCGCTCAAAGAAAGCCCCCAACTTTTCTTTCTTTTCTCCCGTTAAAGGGAATAGGGAAGGATTTGAAATGATCTTTTATTATTATTATTTTTTTCATATTTTTTTTTTTTTGCGGCACTGCGCGAGGTGGTTTGTTGGACGCTACAGGTAAAGAAATGGAAAGACAAAACGGAAAGGCAAACTTAACCTTCGCCTTCACCTTCACCTCTCTTGTAATCAGCTACGCACTTGGGCATCAGCAGAGCTTGCAACCAACTTCTTCCACTCTTCTTGGTTCTCAGATTTCCATTATTCATGCTCCCCCCCACTGCTAGTCCATTCTTTGGTGTTGCCTTCCCAACGTTTCCTCTGTCTGCTTCGTCGTCCCCGTCTTTGTTATGCTGTTTCTTGCAGGACAGTCTTGTCCAACCCAGATGAGCGTGTGATGTGTCCGTACCACTTCGGTTTGGGTATTTTTTTCACTGGAGTCGGGAGGTCTTCATACAACCCGATGGTGTTTCCTATTCTGTTTTTCCACTATTTCACAGGTTAAAGGGCACACGTACCGTTGTCCAAACCGCATTATATTATATGTTCAGAAATTGATTTATTCCTCATAGTATACATACACGTAATATGTAACAATAATCTAACACTGACAGCTGGAAAAAAGCTAATTCTTACTGTCGATTTATTAACAGAATACCGTCATCAATACCTTGTCACAAGATTGTCTCATCTAATCAGCTTCAGATCAAAAAATCTTTGAATACCTCTATTTTCTATTCCGTCAATAATTTTCACATAAATGGGACATGGTTTATAGCTAGGCTGCCATAGTACTAAGATTGCCTAGAACTATAGGCTATCAAAAGACTCCGCTACATAGAAATAGAGAATGGGGCGTGTGTGTGTGTGTGTGGGGGGGGAGAAGACATAATGTAAGCTGCCCTGGTAGAGATAGGCTATGTCGCAATAGAGACCACAGATTCGCTTATTTCCATGCACTTTCTGCCACCGAAATTAATTTTGTGGCCCGAACTGGCCTAATTAGGTCAATGCACCATCATTACATGGCCTGAAATATGGACCAAGCACGATTATTACTTTCGTTTGTAATGACGCAGTGCCTATCAACTAATAAACTGATTGCCTGAAGGCCTACCTATTTTATTTTGAAAGCAAGAATTGCGATTTTATTTTTGTCTTCAGTGGGGAAATGGCTGGCGTAATAATATACGTGATACTTGCCACCGAGTTAATGGTTCATAAATTTCTGTTGTAAAGACGTCTCAGACCCAATCAAAAGCAACATTAGAAGTACAAAACGAATTCGTAAGGTGGCTTTATGGCTAATCTTAGCATGAGATCTGTCTTTTGGTGATGAATAACGTTCTCCTCAACCGCACGGTGTCAGGCAAATCATGGACCGAGAGGAGTCCCAAAGGGCGTTGTAAAGTGCACTATATTGACTTGTTTTCAAGAGTCCACTCTCTTGATAGATAACGACCGACCCTGTCACAGGTCCAGTCGATCACTTGGATCAATCACCACCGTTCGATCACCAGGCTAATCACCCTGTCTTGTCAAACCTAGGGTTCATTTCCTCGGTTAGAAGTTTGGAGAGTAATAGAGTTGTATTATCCCGTATTGCGTGACATTGCGTTGTTTATTACTTTTGGGATTCGCTTTTTCAGATATAAAATCAGCTGGATTTTCTGAACTTTTGAAATCTGTTCCTCGGGACTAAAATCGGTTCAATATATTCGCTAAGCAGTGTTAGTCGGGATTTTCTCACAATAATTACTTAATAGGATAATTAAGAAATTTCAAATTTCTTATCTATAAAATGTGTTTAAGTCGTGCGAAAGGTTTTGAATAAAAAGAATAACGTGGAAATTGAGGTAATCACCCTTAGTTTGATTTGCAAAATTCAACATCGGCAGGCAACGAAATCGCAGGAAAAGAAAACCTTTCCAAAATAGGCTAACACACAGAGTCAGTTTCGAACTGGTTTTCTGACTGAGTGAATTAAAACCTGACAAAGTGGTGTTCTCCGCCCTCTGGTATTAGAATTTCTACACAACTATTCATTGGGTAAGTGGCGACTGCTTTATTTTTTATTCTGTAATATGTTGAGTTAACCATCCATTAAACCAAGAGGCAAATCATTTATTGCTGCTGATATCATACTGTTATTCTGCCATAGTTTGTTCTACCTGTATAATTGATATAAAAAAAAACAACCCAGTCTCTTATATGTCTACCCGCATCTCGATTATATCTTTACCGTTTTGGGGAAATAATGTATTTAAGTAATTCCGTTCTGTGTCGTTATCAAAACGGTTTCTAGACATACGAGTAGAGGAAAAAACAGCAACAACAACAACAACAACAACAACAACAACAACAACAACAACAACAACAACAACAACAATAACAACAACAACGAAACATCAACAGCACAAAAAACCCTCCCCCCAACAAAAAAACCCCAGATGCTCGCAAATTTGATCACTTCGTCAAAAAGTATACATCTTAGAGATAAGAGATATAGTCTTTTGCAAGTACAGTTGCAACATTTTCAAATAACTGAGACGTGTAATAGCTGTATTGCTTGAAACAGAAC